GATTTCTCCCTTTCCCTCTCACTGTCTCTCTCGCTTTCTCTGGTGAGTGCACGTGTATCCTGCAGCAAAAGCTTAAAAAAAAAAATGGGTTATTTGAATTATTTTTTTGCTGGAGACAGAGAGAAGCAGGGAAAAGTCCAGAACTTGAACTGTGATTGGCCATGTGGGAATCCAGTGCCTTAACCACCACACTACCTGCCGGCCCCATGATCTGACTGATTTTTTAAAAAGTAATTGATATTATTGTTTCTATGTTATCCTGAGCTAAAAGCTTTACCTCACAACAACCCTTATAATGTAAGTCCCAAAATCACTTTCATTTTACAGCTAAAAAAGCTGGGGCAGAAAGGGACTAAGTACAATCCTTTGCTAAGGCCAATCAGCTGGTAGGTGACAGAATCAGGCTTATACTCAATAGGGGAGATCATTCCAAGAGCCCTCAAAAATCATAGCCTGTGGCAGAAGTCAACCCCGGGAAGCAGCTAGGACTGCTCTATCTCCTCAGGAAGAAGAACCAGCAAGTCTCCGGGCTGAGGAAGTAGCTCAGAAGCAAACAGTTCCACTGAAATTTTAGACAATTTTAGACATTGACTCTAAGGAAGAACAGAAGTGCACGACACGGGTTAGAGACTCATGAGCTCTGTGACAAGTTGAGAAGATCCTCACGGGGCAGTGCCAGCAATCATTTTCCTGCCAGTAGCAGCCACAGCAACTAGAACACACAGACATTTCCTATGTCCCTCAGGCAGCGGCGTGAGGCTCCTGCGAAAATGTATCTTCAGAATAGTTGACACTACAATTAATTATGTGTTGTTGCTGTTCTACTTACCACAGTAGGTGTAGGAAATGCTCACATCAGAGGAGTTGCAGACCCAATGCTGTTTCTCAGGCTCAGTAAATATAAAAGAAAACAAGGTGGAAAAAAGCACAAATGAAAACATGACCCGATATCTCCAAAACTTTAAGATGCAGTGAAGTTCAGTAACTAATCACGTCTCTTCCCCTTGAGTAACCAGAAAAGGCTTAACTGAGTCATCAGTCACATGGTTTCTAAGTTTCTATCCAACTATTTCCTCTTTTCACGTGTGTGTGTGTGTGTGTGTGTGTGTGTGTGTTTAACATTTAGCAGTTCCTGCAAGGAGAGAGAGGAAAATTATTTAGAATGTACTCTCTCTCTCTTTTTTTCTCCTTAATTGCCACAGAGACTGTGCACTCATTAGAGAGAGAAAAAGAGATAGAGAGAGGGGGAGAGAGCACCCCTCAAGGGGGCCTGATTACACCACAATTCCTCCATTTCTCTGCCCTGTTGGAATTTGGGGCATGCATCTACACACATCTAGTGTGTTTTTCAAGCCTCTGAGGCCAGGATTCAAAACACAGTCAGCGGCACGTCTAGGATTGGGCACGTGGAGTGCGCGGCCCGCGTTATGGGGCTGAGCCGGGTGCGGGCCGTTTTCTTTGACCTGGACAACACGCTCATCCACACTGCGGAGGCCAGCAGGAGAGGCATGCTGGAGGTGATTAAGCTCTTACAGTCGAAATGCCATTATGAAGAAGAAGCTAAAATCATCTGTGATAAAGTTCAAGTTAAACTCAGCAGGGAATGTTTACATCCTTACAACACTTGCATTACTGACCTGAAGCCATCCAGGAAACCAAAGGTGGTACAGCCAACTGGAACTTGGCCAAAGAATGTTACTTCCTGTGGAAATCTACTCGTTTACAGCACATGACACTAGCAGAAGAAGTCAAAAAGCCATGCTCACTGCCCTGCAAAAGGAGGTCCGCTTGCTTTTGTTAACCAATGGCGACAGACAGACCCAAAGGGAGAAGATCGAGGCTTGTGTCTGTCAGTCCTATTCTGATGCCTTTGTTGTAGGTGGAGAGCAAAATAAGGAGAAACCAGCTCCTTCCATATTTTATCACTGTTGTGATCTCCTTGGAGTGCAGCCTGGGGACTGTGTGATGGTTGGTGACACGTTAGAAACGGATATACAAGGAGGCCTCAGTGCAGGGCTGAAAGCCACAGACTGGATAAATAAAAACAGAATAGTGCCACTGAAGTCATCCCCCGTTCCGCATTATGTAGTTTCTTCTGTGCTAGAGTTACCTGCTCTCCTGCTGAGTATAAACTGCAAAGCCAACATGTCAGTGTGAGCACACAGAAGGGTGTGACAACCATTGTCCAAAAATTAGGGCATTTTATGTGCGATGGCCCAGGTTTAAGAATTTCGCTTATGATTTAGTGATCATGATTGTGGAGGTTCTTCAAGCCTATTGCTTTTAAGTTTTGACAATCAACCATTGGCTGGTACTGATTTCTCAAAATCCAGATTACATTAATACAAGTAACTTTTAGTAGTGTAATTCAGAAAATTTGAGGAAGGAAATAGTCCAAAGCACATAAAATAGAGATTTATCAGAGCAGTTGGATCTGGTTAATATGAAATGAGTATTGAGTTACATGAGAATCAAGACATTTCATAGTGAAATAATTTTGCATATTTTCCTTTTTCTTTAACATAAACCACATTTTTTGCCTATCTTGGAAGTATACCTTTTTTTGGAGGTATTTTTGCTATAGGGCATGTGCGCCCGCCAGAAAGAGAGAGACAGAAAGTGAGAAATCACCCCCCAGGGGGGATGGCCATGCCACAATCCCTTCTCCTCTCCGGATCTCGGGCACACGCACACACGCGCCCAGCATAAGTTTAAGCCACCAGGTCCAGGACTCAAACCACAATCGACTACATGAGAGTCCAGCATTACGCCAACTGCTGGTCCCCAAATGTATACATTTTTAAATAACTTTTACCAGAGGGTGTGTTCATTCATTAGAGAAAAGGAGGATAGCAAGAAAGCATCCCTCATGGGGCATGGTCATGCTGCAATCACTTCCCCTCCATTTCTCCCTCCTTTGGGGATTTCAGGCATGCATACACACAAGTCCAACATGTTTCTCAAGCTGCTCCAGGACTCAGACCACACATTTGGCCATGTGGGGTCCAGCCACTTTAAACACCATGCCACAGGTGGCCCTGAATACTTTCTTTACTATTACTAATGTGCGTTTTTCTGCCTGTTCTTTTTTCCAGATGGTGGGGGCACTCCTGTGGTGTGTACTTAACAAATAGATTATTCTCCTTGTACATGAGATTTTCACACCCTCCAGAATGAGCTCAGCTTCCTTGTCCTTAAGCCTCCTGTGGAAATAGCCTCACTCTCTTCTCCCAGGCACAGTGGGGTTGAGCAAACCAGACTGTCTTGCTTGGGGTAAGTGCAAACCCCCCACATGGCACCAGAGTCACTTTCTTTCCATGGCTTCATAGGAAGGTAATGGCCTTGGAGCAGCCTGGTCCGGCAGTCCCAGTGCTACTGACAGTGGTTTCACCCATTCGATGAAACTAATGGGAAATTAGATTTTACTATGAACCATTTCGAGGGTGCAATTTTAAGACAAGTAACTCTTAGGGTTACTCTTAAGAGTTATCACCTTAAATCTCCTGTTTTTCACTTTAAAAAAAAAAACTTCATTATTTCACAACTTTCTGAATTTAATTTTTTACTTTGAACAAGTAATAATGACTATAGCAAGGCATCACCTTGAAACCAGAATGTTTTCCTTAGAACATTAGGCTGCACCATCTCATGAGACCCCACTAACCAGCCTAGAGTAAAGTGAAGGAAATATGACTTGGATTGGGTTTTGGTAGTTTTTTTTTTTTTTTAATTGTTGTATAAGAAAATACTAATGTAAACTATTAGACTATCTGTGAAGGTATGTGAAGTTATGACTCCAGGATTGATACTCAGAGAATCAAGCTCTAATTATACTTCTGAACCTATTTCTTTGGCCAGTTTTTTTCTGTCTGCCCCTAAGAACAGGATTTTCTGCCTCCTGCAAATGCCCTTGTTTGTTTATGTCTCACTCTTGATTTTTCAAAATGCGATGTGCCCTTGACTGATGCAGGGTGCCATTATTAGGAAGCTGAACATTTGTGAAACAAGTACATTTGTGCTTCTGGGTACGGTGTTCAGATGATCTTGACTATGTGTTTGCTGTTTAAAAATTGTTAAGTTGGAGGATTTGGGTAGAGCTCATTTGTATGTGGTTTCTCTACTTGATTGACATGTGGTGCAGAGGGCTTGTCCATTAGCTGTCCTGCAGACTGGATGTAGGCAGCATTATTACGCTAACTGGTGCAAGTTCATCACTGCTATGTTATGGGGGCAGTGCTCAACAAGGCAGCACCTAGGATATAAAGTGAGCAGTTCCTCAGCAAAAATGATTTAGAGAGAAACTATTAAACGATTGTATTTCCTTGTCTTCAGAGTTTGCATTCAATACAGAATAATAATGCAATATTACAGTTCCATTTGCACTCTTCCTTACGGAAGAACTGTGGTTTTCTACCTTCTAAGTGGAATGTTACAAAAGATATATTAAACTATTGGAATAGACCTATAACTTTATTTAGAATAATATTCTTTAAAATTAAAAAAAAAAAAAAACAGTCAGCCATGTGAGATGCAATTCCTTAGCATTAGGCCATGTGCCTGATACTAGAATGTAGTCTTTTTGAACACTTGATGCAAATGACAGTGACTAGTGCTTTAAAAACAAGACATTTCCAGACAGTAATAACAAAACTGAAACAAAACCAGCCCGTATGTAGATCTCCTTTGGGGTATCAACAGACTGACAGTCCTTCGTTTGCATTGCTATTGTCTTCCACAAAGTCCTCAGACAGTGTTTAAATTATTTTCTCTGCATTTGTGATAGAGCTTGTTAGGTACACACATAGGAGAAAAAGAAGAGGAGCACCCTCCACAAAATCCAATTATGCATCAGCCCCTCCCTCCAGTCCATTGGCGACCAAGTGGGAGATTTGAACCATACGAGATCCAGCTTCACTTGAGCAGCACGTTACCACTGCGCCCTGAAGCTGGTCCCCACAAGCTTTTTGTACAGCAGTTTCTCGAGACCCAGAGAGTTGGACTAATTTAGATCTGAACAGTCCCATGCAAACTGTTTCAGCAACAGGTTCAGCCACAGGACAGAGTGGAGCTTGGTAAGACCCCAGATGGCTTTGAGAATGCACTTACTTACAAAAAAAAAAAAATAAAGCTTGAGGAACATTTTGAGTCCTAATAATGAAATGTCATTATTTTGTTGTGATACCTACTTCATTTTAAAATTCTTCATTTTATCAAAACAGCTATTCCTTTAAATGCTTTAATATTTAAAATCTTTCATAGGTTATAGTTTGGGTTAGTAACCAAAAATGGCATGAAGTTGGGGCTTAAAAATGTGCACATGGTGGGACCAGCAGGTGGTGTGGTGGATAAGGGTGCTGGATTCCCACATGGCCAACCATGGTTCAAGTCCCGGACCTAGTGGCTTGTTTTCTCACTTTCCCTTTCTCTCTCTCTCTCTCTCTCTCTCTCTCTCTCTCTCTCATCAAATAAAAAAGAAACTAACAATAACAAATGGAAATAAATAAATAATTATTTTTTTTTTAAATGTGCACATGGAGGTTCCAGCAGGTGGCATGATGGCTAAGGCACTGGATTCCCACATGACCAATCACAGTTCGAGTCCTGGACCCGGAGGCTTGAAAATCATGCTGGGTTCAGGTGCATGTATGTCTAAAATGCTGAGAGGATAACGGAGAAGAGACTGAAGTGTGGTGCTCCCCCTCCCCAGGGGTCGTGGAGGATTTCTCACTTTCCCTCTCTCTGTCTCTCTCCTGTGAGCACATGTGCCCATGACAAAAACCTAAAAAAAAATTAGTAAATGAATAAAAAGTGTGCACACTGAAGAGGAAACTATAAGTAATCAATTATGTTTGTAAGAAGTTTTACTATAGAGCCATGCTACTCCACACCCACCCCCCATTTTTTTTAATGCTAGAGGACATGGAGTACACACCACACAGAAAGAAAAGTACACGCCAATAGGGCCTGGTCATGCCCTTTCCTCTTTTCCCCTTTCCTCTATCCTCCAGCCCCTCAGGATCCTGGGCACCTTCCCCATCCTGCCAGGATCCTGAGTACATCTGCACATGGGCCCGGTGTGTTTCTCAAGCTGCCGGAGCCAGGTCTCAAACTGTGATTGGCCATGTGGGTTCCAGCTTTCCATACACAGGACTGAACCACTGCAGTACAGGACTGACCCTTCTATTATTTATTTAAGACACAGAACTTCCTTTATGATGATGATATTATTTTATTGCCAGTGGGCGCTTTTATTACCAGAGAAAGAAAACCCAATGCAGTATGGTCACACTGCAATCCCTTCTCCTCCATCTCTCCATCCCATCAGGACTTGAGGCATGCAAGCACATGTATCTGGCATTTGTCAAGCCATCAGGGCCAGGACTTGAACTCCAGTTAGCCATGTGGAATCTGGCTTTTTATGTACAGGGCATAACTGCTAAGGGACAAGCCCCATCCTTTCCTTTTTTTTTTTTTTTTTTTTTTGGTCTTTTTTGGGTTTGGGGTTTTTTTTAGGTTTTTGCTATAGGGTGTGTGCACTTGCCAGAGAGAGACAGAGACAGAGAGAGGGAAAGTGAGCAATTCCTCCTCTCCACCCAGGAGGTACAACCATGCTGCAATCTCTTCTCCTCCATTCTCCTTCTGGGATTTTGGGCATTCATGCATGCACACCCTGCAGGTTTTCAAACCACCAGGTCCAGACTCAAACAGCAGTCAGCAGCCATGTGAGAGTCCAATGCTTTAACTGCCATGCCACTTGCTGCCCCACCCCCTTCCATTTTCAAACAGGCAAAAAAAAAAAAAAAAATGACAGGAAAGGGAAATGGTAGTTGTTGAATGGGTAAGAGTTTCAGATTTGCAGGATTAATAAGTGTTCTGGAGATCCATTGTGCACCAATGGGAACACAGTTAACTACTGAACTACACATAACAGATTTATTCTCTTAGAATTCTGGAGGTCAGAAGTCCAAAATCAGTTTCACTGGACTAAAAAGATGTCAGCAGAGCTAGTTCCTACTGGAACTTCTAGGGAAAGGAGGTTTCCTTTTCCAGTTTCTAGAGCTAGAATCCTTGCATTTCTCTAACTTCAAAGTGTATGACTCAAATCTCCACTTCCGTCATTCCACTGTCTTCTCTGATATTCAGCAGTGTTTTAATAAGGATCACTGTGATTACAATGGGCCCTCTGAATAATGTAGGATAACTGAAGTCATAATCTATAACATCACCACATCTGCAAAATCCCTTTGGAATATAAGGGAACATTCACAGCTTCCAGTGATTAGGACATGAACATCTTGTGGTGCCATTGTTTAGCCTTCTTGTATATGAACATTAATAAGATAGTAACCGCTATAAGTACACATACATCGCATATGGTTTTTTTATAATTACTTCATTTAACTGTTTATTATTTATTTATTTGTTTGTTTTAATTTGACCAGAAAGGGACAGAGTGAGAGAGAGAGAGGGAGAGAGAGTGAGAAAGCAAGCTGCCAGGTCCAGGACTTGAACCACAGTCGGCCATGTGGGAATCCAGCGCCTTTAACCACCATGCCACCTGCCGGCCCCCATCAGATATGTTTAAAGCCATGAGTCCATAACCGTTTTTAAAGAATTATTTAACTTTATTTATTTATTTATTTTCAAACTTGACCAGAGAGGGACAGAATAAGAGAGAGAGAGAGAGAGGGAAAGTGAGAAAGTAATCCATCAGATCCAGGATTCGAACCAGTTGGCCACATGGGAATCCAACGCCCTTAACCACACCATCTGCCAGCTCCCATAACGTTTTTTTTAAGGAATAATTTCATTTAACTTTATTTATTAATTTTTATTTGACCAGAGAGGGAGAAAGCAAGAGAGACAGAGAGAGAAAGTGAGAAAGCAAGCCAGTAGGCCCAGGATTTGAACCACAGTCGGCAGTTTAAGCCCTGCCCATAACACTTTTTAATGTCTACTTATCACTAGATGGTGCTAGGAAAAGAACTCAATTTTTCAAATTGCTGGTGGCCCAGCAGATGGCATGGGTGGTTAAGGCACTGGATTCCCATATGGTCAACAACAGTTCAAGTCCTGGACCTGCCAGGTGCACATGTACACATGCCCAATATCCCAAGAAGAGGGTGGAGAAGGGTTTGTGGTGTGGTCAATCCCACTGGGTAGTGATTTCTCATTCTCTCTCTCTCTCTAGCAAGCACATGCACTCTATAGCAAAAAGCAAAGCAAAACTTGGCAAATAGAGAAAAAATAAATCAAGCAACTTATGTCAATTTTTCTGTATAAGTTTGAGAGTAACTAAACTTAGATGGGCACACTTCTCTTGCCATCTTGTACCCTTATCCCTACTTTTAAATATATCAGCTAATAAGTGAAAATGAATAATAAAATATAGCCATTTGGCAACACCTAATGAATTAGTGGACTTAGACATCACACATTAATGCTAACATCACAAGAGACAAAAAGACATTATGTTCCTCATAGTGGAGGAACACTGCAGTAGCCAGGGATAGGGCTGGTCCCTTAGTAGTCAGCCTTCGAGATGACCCCGTTTACTCGCTGGATGTGACCTTATGAATTCCCCAACACTAAGTAAGGTTCACCATGTAAGCAATAACGCAGAGCACACAGTGTGACTTCTACACAGGTCATGCAAGACACGGGAACTTCCACTTTGCTCTTTTATCATTCATTCCAGAAGCAAGAAGTCCTAAGAGAGATTCTGCAATAAGAAAGTGAGGCTTCTTAACAAAAAGCTAGCACCAAATAATCATTCATGAGTGAGCCATTTTTTAAAATAATTATTTTATTTAACTTTATTTACTTATCTATTTAAATTTGACCAGAGAAGGACAGAGTGAAAGAGAGAAGGAAAATAAGAAAGCAAGCCACCAGGTTCAGGACTCAAACCATGGTCAGCCATATGGGAGTCCACTGCCCTTTAACCACCATGCCACCTGCCGGCCTCGAGTCATTCTGAAAGCAGTTCCTCCTGCCCACTTCCAACCTTCAACAGCAGCACCAGCTAACATCTTGACTGCAACTTTTATTTTTTTGAGTTTTTTTTTTTTTTGCTATAGGGCGCATGCGCTCGCCAGACAGATAGAAACAGAGAGACAGAAAGCGAGAAATCACCCCCCAGGGGGGATGGCCACGCCGCAATCCCTTCTCCTGCATTCTCCTCTCGGGATCTTGGGCATGCACGCACACATGCCCAGCGTGAGTTTAAGCCACCGGGTCAGGGACTCAAACCACGGTCGGCTACGTGGGAGTCCAGCGACACAGCCATTACGCTAACTGCTGGTTCCCTTGACTGCAACTTCTTGAGAGCATGGCCAATTCCCCAATGCCAGACATGCAGATATTATGAATGTTTATTATTGTTTTAAGATTATAGTTTGGGGTCAATTGGTGATGTAGAGGTTAAGAGGGCTGGGGCCCATATGTCAAATGCATAGTTCGATTTGTGGACTTGACAGCTTGAAAAACATGCTGGGCACATGTGCATGCATGCTCAAAATCCTGAAAGGAAAGAAATAGAAGAGATTTCATGGCATCACCATGCCCCATGGGGGGAAGCTTTTTCACCCACTCTCTCCGGCAAGTGTACACACTTTCTGACAAGTTAAGAAACCAAACAGGGACCGGCAGATGGCATAATGGTTACATCTCCCATGCAGGCCCAAACCTGGCAGTTTAAAACACACCAGGCACATCTATGTGTGACCAAGATCTCGAGAATGGAGAAAGGATTGTAGTGTGGCCAACCCTCCTACCCTCCGCTAGGGGGCGTGATTTCTCACTTTTCGTCTATCTCTCTCTCTCTAGCAAGCACACACGTCGTATAGCAAAAAAAAAAAAAAATCTTCCCATTTGTTTCTGACATCTGATCCCCAGTTTAGGGGCAACCACAATTCTTATAGCTTTTTTTTTTTTTTTCTTGAGAGAGAGGTGTTTGCTATATGGTAAGTGCACTCGCTGAAGAGACAGAGACAGAGAGACAGAAGGCGAAAAATCTCCCCCTAGGGTGTATGGTCAATCCCTTCTCCTCCATTCATTCTCCTCTTGGGATTTTGGGTATGCACACACTCTCCTGACTTAAGTTTTGAGCTACTGGGTCAGGAACTCAAACCACAGTCAACTACATGGGAGTCCAGTGATGTAACCACTATACCGTCCACCTGTCCACATAGTTCTAACTAAAATTGACCATGCATATATCACCATGTACACATACAGTCACATTGTTTTTCAATTGCCAGAGTGCATGTATGCTTGATATAGACAAAGAGGGAGAAAGCACTGCCCTGTGGGATGTGGTCACGCCACTTTCCCTTTTCCTCCATGTCTCCATCCTACTGGGGACTTGGGGTATGCATGCACATGTCTGAGGGTGAGATTCAAGCCACTGGGGCCCAGATTAGAACCATAATCGGCCGTGTGGTAGCCAGCTTCCTTATCCTCTAGGCCAGGCTCAACCCATCACACACGTTTATAAAAACACAAATGACAGATACTATGCTTTGCTTTTCAAACACAGCTTACTTTATTATAAAGGAACATCATTCTCTCAAAATTAATTAAAAGCTATTTGATAGCTTCAAATTAAGTCACTAACAGAATACAAAAGTAAAGACAATTTTATTATACATTGAAACATAAATCACATTTAAGGAACACAAGCATAAAAATAGTCTCATTTCTCATCCTTAATCTGTTTCTTTTCACTGGCTTCTTCCATATCAAAAGTGAATGGTTTGTCATAACCCATTAGATGGTTATAGTCTTGAGGGTTTGGAAAGAGAACTGGATTAACTAACAGTGATTTTGTTTTAGCATAAAATGTGGTAAACACGTGTGTGCTGTCTGGAACCTTCACGTCATTCTGATGAAACACTGTGCTCGTTTCTGAAAGCACAACGCTGTAAGTAATGGCTTTATAAGTGTCTGTTGTGGCCTCATGGTACAACCGAATGACATAGCCTTTTGTAATGAAGTGAAGCAGTGCTGGGGTAATCAACGTAAAGCTTCCTATCGTGCCATAAAATAAGATTTGCAATGGCAGGCTTCCGAATATAATGTTATTTTGTGCAAAAATATATGGTAGAAATGCGAGGCTGATCACACTCGTAGAATAAGAGAAACATTTCACACCTAAATGGGAAAAAAAATGAGAAAGAATCAATACTTAAAATCTTGTAAAAGAATCAAATTATCCTAATAATTCTTTCACTTTTCTTCTTACTGTATCATTATCAAAACAACAAAATCAAAATGGTGTTTACATGCCCGGCCCTGTGTTAAGCACCTTACATTATTTTATTCATGGAATCTATAGAAAAGCCCTATGAAAGAGAGGTATAATTATCTTCATCACCCCCACTTAAAAAGTTAGAAAAATGAGGCATGTGTGCCACAATGCATATATACCTAATGACACGACTGGGATTCAGATTCAGGCAATTTGATTCTAGAGACCATGCCGTTGACTATTACAATGTATGTACTGCCTTTCGACGTAGGAAATGTATTTTAGGCTAAACAGCCTCCACCTCAGTTCCCAAATAAAAGACCTAACATTATGTGAAGACCCCTATTAATAGTATATAAGATGGTTCAGACAGCAGATTATCAAGTAAAACAAACTCTATTAACAAGCACTTCTAAAGCTAACAAAATGTTCAAACATGGAGAATTCTATCAGGCTAGGTACCCAGGATTAAAACGAATCACTGCAGAAATAACATCACTGGTTAAAAACACATGGAGAGGGGCCAGCAGGTGGCATGGTGCTTAAAGATACTGAACTCCCACATGGCTGACCGTGGTTCGAGTCCCAGACCTGGTGGCTTGCTTTTTCACCTTCCCTCTCTTGCTCATTTTGTCCCTCTCTCGTCTAATATATAAGTAAATAAATAAATGAAGTTAAAAAATAGATATATGGAGGGGAGCCAGCAGGTGGCGTGATGGTTAAGGGTGCTGGACTCCTTCATGACTGACCACGGCGTGAGTCCTGGACCTGATGTCTTGCTTTCTCACTCCCCCCCCCCACCCTCTCACTCTCACACTGTCCCTCTCTGGTCAAATAAAAATAAATAAAGTCAAATAAAATAATTCTTGAGGGACCAGCAGTTGGTGCCATGGCTATGTCACTGGACTCCCATGTAGTCGACCACAGATCTAGTCCTGGACCTGGTGACTTAAACTCACACCCAGCGTATATGCATGCATGCCCAAGATCCTGAGAGGAGAATGAAGGAGAAGAGATTGTGGTGTGGCCATCCCCTGTGGGGGGTGATTTCTCACTTTCTGTCTCTCTCTCTCTCTGTCTTTCTGGCGAGCACGCCTGCCCTATAGCAAAAGCCTGTCCAAAAAAAAAAATTCTTAAAAAAAAAATAACGAAACGGAGGACAGGGCTAGCAGGCAGCATGGTGGTTAAGGGCACTGGAGTCTCACGTAGCCAACCACAGTTTGAATACTGGACATGACGGCTTGCCTTCTCTCTCTTCCTCTCTCTCTTGCTCTGGACTCCCTAGTCAAGTTAAAAATGAATAAATAAAGTTGAACAGAGAGAT